GAGACAGAGAGACAAAGCCCTGCCCTCGGTGACACTTCACAGTCAGTGATGGGGGGCGGGGCACAGACACCAGCGGTGAGTCCTGAGCAGGAGTAATCACCAGGAACTCAGGGAGTGAGGGACAGGGGCCCAGAAACTGCCTAGGGCGTCCAGGAGGCTTCCCGAGGGAGAGGAAAACCCTGGAGTTCGTGCTTCAACAGCTGGCAGATGGAGGAGGTCGGGTGGGGTGGGAATGGTGCTCCGTCTGGGCGGGGGCACAGCCCAGCAAAGGCGCGAAGGTCAGAACAGGGCGATCTATTCAGAGCAGCACAGCACTTTGGGTGTTGCCGGATAACACGCAGAAAAGGAAGTAGAGCCGGGAGCCGGGCTAGAACGGAAAGCAAGGGCCAGTCCACATGCGCCTGGGAGTTTGGACTTGACACCAGGCTCAGAACAAGCACAGCCGCACCTGCACACGTATTCCAGGAAGAACTGAGCAGATCTACACAACAGGGAAGCTGGATTCACTGAGCCGGGGCGGGGGCAGTCTTGTTCCATGGGCTGGAATTGCCCAGCCTACTGGGGCAAATTTATCTCAGCCACCACGGTGACCTGGGGCCCCCAAATCACTCCCGCATGGGATATCTGTTTTGCAAACATGCCACTAGGCATACGGGGCTTGAAATCGGCTTTGGCTCATTGCTTTTGGTATTGTCTTTTTTCCACGGTGAGCAGAGAACCAACTGCTTGACTCCAAGTTTGCCCAAGGTCTGCAGTTAACCAGGCGCATCTCAGCAGATGGTCAGAAAGTGTCTCAGAACTCAGCCTCAGCTACCACCGCCAGCCCAAACCGAACACTCATTTTTTTCCAGTGAGATTTCCCTTCTCTCTATAATTAATTTGTCATGAGCATGCTGACAAAGCATTGCGAGCAGTTAATGGAGACTGGAGGGGAAGGTCAACGCTGGTCTTTTCAGGAAGGAAATTAACTAGCTACCATTAAAAGCAGAAGATGATTAAGTCCGTCCATCCCCCAGCCCTTGGCTGTCACTAGCTCATCCACCCGTCACCCTCTCTTCTTCGATGATATGTGCACACAGAACTTGCAGCCCCCAAAGATGGATGGGATGGGGGGTGAGGAGGAGGAATTTGCTCCATGAGTTAGAAGTGATTTTCCAAGATGACCATGACCTGCTCACAGAGGCAATTCTATTTTCTCATCCCAGTTTCCCTGCTCATCTCAGGTAAGTCCAGACGAACTCCTCTCCTGTAGGGTTTTAGCAGACAGACAACATTAGAAGCTTAGAGTAAGAAAAAGTCCATGAAGTAATTCAGGAGCATTTTGGCTACAAGTGACAGAAACCTGGATTACCTAGGCTTTAAAAAGGAACTCTATTTGCTTATGCAATTTGGAAATCAAGGGATACCTAGCTTCAGGAATGGCTGGATCCAGGAACTCAAATATTAGTTTTACACGCCTTTCTATCTCTCCAACTCTCTCCATCTCTCTTATGCTACGTGGTCATCAGTCACCCAAGGCTATGGCCTGCCAACTTAGCAATCAAGCAGAAAAAGAATTCTTCAAGCCAAATACTGCTGGTAGAATGTCCCAGGAAGAATTCTGATTAGTTGAGCATGGGTCACGTGCTGATCCTTGAACCAATCAAGGAAAAATGAAGTACTGTGATTGACTGACATGCTAGGGAAAGTGAGGTCATCCACAAGGACCTGCCCCCCAAGAGAAGTGTTCTGTGCTGGCAAGTCAAGTGTCCACTTCAGGAAGGGGTGTGGGTGCTTCTTCCGAGGGTTCCCCAAATATGGAAGGGCTTT